CGCCCCCGCCCCCCGCCATCACTTTTATATGCTAATCATACGCCCCCGCCCCCCGCCATCACTTTTATATGCTAATCATACAAAATGGTGTGCCTTTCAGATTCGGACTAAGTTGGTGGCTCCTGGTGGAGAAGCCTTGGGTGGTGTTATTGGTGCTTTCAGCCACATGATCCATACTGAAGGACCTCTCTCCCTTTATAAGGGTTTAGTACCCTCCATTTTAAGTATGGCACCTTCAGGTGCAGTTTTTTATGGTGTATACGATATACTGAAATCAGCTTATCTGCATTCACCAGAAGGTAGGAAAAGAATTCAAAACATGAACCAACAGGGGCAGGAATTGAATATTTTGGATCAATTGGAATTGGGACCAATTAGGACGTTGCTTTATGGTGCTATTTCTGGTGCTTGCGCTGAAGCTGCGACTTACCCTTTCGAGGTTGTGAGGAGAAAGCTTCAACTGCAAGTTCAGGCAACTAGATTGAGTGCCCTGGCAACTTGTGCGGAGATAGTCAAGCAAGGAGGAGTCCCAGCTCTCTATGCTGGACTAATTCCAAGCTTGCTACAGGTACATAATCACTGAAGATAAGATCTCTCTCTCTCTCTCTCTCTCTCACAATCACAACAGGCACAGGGTGTCTATGCTTAGTTTTCTATGGTTTAGTAGATCCTTTTGATAAGTGAATATATCATTGATTGGTTATCCAAAATTGTAAGACATGGTCATTATGGAGGTTAACATCATTGGGATCAATGACTTTATAGATTTCATAACAGTATATGTGTTAATTAGTTATCGATTTTATCAGAGCAATTTATCTCAATTCAGGCACTATGGTCTTTTGTCTTTAGAAACACTGTGCTCAATCTTCTGAGTCATATCTTGTCTTGGTTAAATTTATGTTTCAGTTCCAATATCCAAGTGCTTCATTAGATTGTTTTGCCTGTGGTAGTTCTTAGAAAGTGAGATTACTGGCTGTCGCTTCGCTCCCTAAACGGTCTTTCTTGCAGTGGAGCAAGTGCTTCTACTTGTATATAAAGTATTCAATGTCCTGTTTTTTCCTGGTTGTGGAAAATTGAACATATTATATTTGACAGGTGTTTTTACCCCAAACTTGATTGGATTTGATGATGTAGTCTTTATTAAACTTTAGCGTGCTTCTCACTCAAGGATCATTTCATTTAACGGTTTAACCTGATCTATTTGTCTGTCTTGAATTTGCAGACTCTTTTCCTCTTAGATATTGGACTTTCTAAAATTTCAACTTTTCGGTTTCAAGCCTTCTTTTTCTTCTCTTCTCGATTTGATAATGTTTTGCGTACTCAGGTACTTCCCTCGGCTGCAATAAGTTATTTCGTCTACGAATTCATGAAAGTAGTTCTTAAAGTGGAATGAAAAGAGAAAATTGAGCGAACACCCATGGAAGATGTCGGAAGGTTGTAGAGCAACTGAGTGGAGAACCACCAATAGATCTAGAAGGATCATAGCTACATAGCAGGTACCAATACCATTCATGTGGGAAATGTATTTTTCCATTGCAAACGGCAGGAAATTGAATCGCCATCACAACTTACCAGATTCAAGCTTTATTCACTTTCAAAATTTAACGGTAGTGCAAGACATACACACTTTTGTTTTTGAGGATAAAAGCCAGCGAAATTTGATTTTGATCAGAAAAAGAACATTATATATTTATGTATTTCAATTTTAGCAATTTCCCTTTTCACTTTCTGCAATTCTGTGTTCCATCACTATTTATTGCGGAGAACTCATACTCTAATGCTTTATGAGATGTGGTAACTGGCAAGTAGCTATGTGCAATTAATGATCCAACCTCATTTGTTTTGTTGATTCGAGTTTTCAACTTGAGTTGATAAATTCAGTGAATTTATGTGAAAAAAAACGCTGTAACCAAAAAAAAAAAATTGAATTTAAAACTGTTGTGAGAGAAAACACTGTGGTAAAAACTTGAGGTGCGATTCGATTCAACAAAATGAACGGTAAGTTTTGACTATTGTATGTTATCCTATTTTTCCTTCCGGCATAAGATACCAAAATACAAGGGGTTTAGAAATAGTAGTTTCTGGTCGCGGTTTTGTTATGATGGTACTTGGCTACTTGCTAATGGTAGTCTGTTTCAATGTTTAAGTTGGCAGTTGGTATTTGAATATACACCTGTTTAGAAAAATTTAAACCTGATTTATGCATAAATGTAAAACGAGTGAATTACTTGAAACATAAAAACTGGTACTCGGTCCAATTTACACCTATTTTTAGCAACAAAATGTCCGAGGGAATTGAGTGTGGGGAGCAATGAAGCGGCCAACCACACCAGTCCAATGATGTGCCAACTGCCAAGGCACGGTAGATTGTTTTTGGGAGGCCTGGGGCAATTTTAAAACTATCCCTTGAAATGAAGCTTATTTTATTTACACTCCTTAATATTAGTCCATATTTTTTTACCTTTTAAATTAAAATTAGTCAAGTGATAAATTTTTTTAAAAAAAAATACTTTTAAGTCTCATTTATTTTACTGATTTAAATTTTCAGTTCTAAATTTTTATAATTAAAAGTTTTTAAAAAATATCATATCTAATTTTTTTATTACAGTTAAAAATTCTTAAAAAATATTAGATCTCAACTTAAATTAAAAATTTAAATAAGTAACAATTTAAATTAGCAAAACGAATGAGGTTTTAATAAGTTAAAGTACTTAAAAGTGGTAAAATCTTTAATTTTCTCTCTTTTTTTATTACTTATTTTTCGGGCTTAAGGAATGAGATTTTTCTGTAGCCAGTTACCGTTTAACCTCTCGATTTTAAATGACGTTGAAATAACATTAACGGGGCTCGTTTTATCCACATAAATTTATTTGCTGAAGATCGTACCTAAAAAAGGCAAACAATTATGAGTAACAACTCTTGCCCATAATTCACATGCGAAACAATTGCGTGAGAATAATAGACTTAAAACGGCAAACATACCACCTGCCCACCTCCCAACTACTTGGTGGTCGTTTCTCAAATGTCATGTTGTTTGTCAAATTATAGGATGCGTTTAAAATTATTTTTAAAAACGTTTTCACATATTATTTAGACACGAAAATAAAAACGGTATACAAATCGCGTTTATTTAATAAAAGTTTTAAAAACGAAAATGAAAACAAAAAATAATAAGAATGATTTTTATATAAAAAAAAAGTAAAAAACGATTGAAAGCGATTTTTCTTTTTCCGTTTTCATTTTTTAATACTTATCAACAAAGTTATATTGAAAATTAATTATTAATTATTAATTATATTATATAGTAATTAATAATTAATAAATAGATATACTTAATAACTAATAAATAAATATTAATTACTTAATTATTAATGAAATATTAATTTATTACTATTAAGTTTTTAATTTTTTTAATAAAATAATAAATAATATATTAATTAATTACTTAGTTAAAGATTAATTGCCAACAAGTAATTATATAACATATTAACAATAAAACAAATAATAATAGGTTATTAAATAAATAATAAATAATTAATATATCAATCATATATTATGTTAATTATAATCTATTAATTAGTAAATAGTTGGTAAATAAAAAAATAAATAGTAATTACTCAATTAATAATTAATATTAAATTATAATTATCAATATGTAATATACTAATCAATAATAATTAATAATTGATAATTAG